CTTAAAGTTTTTTTTTAGTATGAAGATTTCAAACCTACTTTAAGATGGGCTGTCGTTGATATTCAATGAAAATTTTGAACTATCTTTGGTTTTCACTTTAAATTTGTTTTCCAAAAATCTAGATGACCAGAACTTTGCAGCTGATCTCTAATCTGGACTAACTCAACTAACTATCACTAAAGATACTAGTGAAATGGTTGGTTTCTTGTACTGTTCCAGAAATTACCTGACTTCACTTGCTACGCCCTGTCTTTACAAGAGTCAGATCAAACCCAAAATGGAGTATTGCTGCCATGTATCTGGACTGGAGCTGCACAGTCTTTTAGAGGTCAAAGATTACTCTTCTTATTTTACTTAATTTTATTTTTATGTCTATTTCTTCAAAATTTTGCAAGTCACAATTGATGAAATATAAAAAAAATATTTCATTTCAAAATATCCAGAAAAAAAAAAACCAAACCTTCATTTTGGGAATAAAATTTTGTTTGATTGAACAAGCAAACTGGAAAAAACAAGATTATCCAATCGTTTTGTAATTGGTACTATACAAAATAATGCTCCCCCCAAATATGCCTGAGTAATCTTATAAGTAATTTATATACACAACATATTATGTGAAAAATGATATTTAAAAGAAAAATAATGTCGTTTTAGCCTGACTGTTTAGAAACTGAGCAAAACTCTTTAAAATCTGACACAGGGTCAAATAAGGTGAAAATGTGGAGGCTGAGAAGATTTTTTTTTTTTTTTTTTGTGGAGTGGGGAAATCTCCCGAGTGAAAAAGATAGATCTATTTTGCTGCATTCAAATTTCTGGCTTACTGGAGCCAATGTGAAATAGACAAATCCTTCATGTACCAAAAGCAAGTCTTGATATATATTATAGAAATTTGTGTATTTATCAGAGAGCAGTATCCGACGCGAGAATTCATTACCGACACACCATCCTTTCTTTGTCAAATTAAAAGGCGAAAAGTATTTCAGGGGAGAAAACCTCGTGTCTTCTCCAACATTGTTTAGTTTTTACTAAGTCATAAAGTGTATCTTTCTTGCATGTATTTAAAAAAAAAAAAAAGGAAAAAAAAGATGTGTACTAAAATGAGATATTTCATTTCAAGCTATTATTACAATTAAGCTAATGAAGATATTTGTAAAATGTAAAAACAATGAAAATCTTTCTTGTTGTTTGTTCTCTATAAAACCCGTAATTTTAATTAACTGGCCCTTCGTCACACCTGTATGGGTGAGGCTGGACACCTTAAAGTAACTTATCATGATAAAATTTCTAATCATGAGCCTAAAAAAAGATTATTTCCAATTAAATGTCTCTTCCATTTTTGTAATACCGACGTTGGTGTCTGACAGAGATGTCCTTTTTCTTCGATTATGTCAATGAATCAAAGAAATTAATTCCTAGTTTACTAAAAACACAAAAAATATTTTATTTTTAAATTAAAATCATTTAAATTAGAATTAATTAAATTAAATACTTATCTTATTTTTTTATAACTATTCCAGAGGTCACTTTATAAATCTTCATAAAATAAAAAAATCCAACTAAAAAAATAGAAAGTGTTTTTGTTTTGTTTTTTAAATAAACTGCAATTTTTGCAAGGGATACTGATTATTTATTAGTTCAGATTAATTTTCTACTTAATTATTTTTTTAATTATTAAATTATTTAAAATAAAATTCATGTTACGCATTTTTAGGGTAAAAAAAAACCCAGCAGAATCAGAAAACAATAATAAAAATAAAAATTAAAAAGGGATATAGGTTTCGAAATAAAAATAAAAATTGTTACACTACTTTCAAGTCTGATATATTTGCCGCGTGAGTAAACTAGGATTTTTATACATTTTTATTCCTTTTAAAAATAAAAATTAAAAAAAAAAAAAATTGTTTTTACGATTCGATTTTGCTGGGGTTTTTTTTTTTATCAGGGTCGGGCACTGCCCTCGTCTCTAGACACCACTCTGCTGGTAAGCAACTGTAGCAGCAGCAAGCAAGTAGCTGTCGTCGTGTAGTAAATAACACAGGAGGATCTTTCTTCTTCTTACGTATATACACACGCAATTACTTAATGTTACAGCCATTATCTATACATTATTACAAATTGATGTTCCTCACTATAGCCTTTCAAATAGTGGCGTATAATTTGAAGTAATTGGATTTCTGGTCTTTTTCTTGTCTATAGTGGTAAAATTATTATTATTATTATTGTTGTTGTTTCGATAAAGAAGAGTAAAGAAAGATCGTTGAAGATGTATTTTTCAGCATCAACTTTGTACCACCAAGAAGGACCCGGAAGCAAATAATTTATTCTGCATCACTTCGGGTCACGTCCGTTTGTGAGAAGAAGCATCGGAATGAAAGAAAGAAAACACGATAATTGCTTGTTACAACTTTCCTTTGAATGCTGTTGAGATTTGGGATTTAAATTGGATTACTTTTCCAGGAAAACTAATATTGGATACTTTTTCGCTCAGCTAAAGAAAAAAAGGGTTTTTCCACTCCTTTTCAAAAAGAGGTTTTCTTGAATTTTAAACAAAATTGGATAAAAATGATTTAAAATCGAAATCATTGAAGGAAGATAAAAGATATTTGTTTGAGAGGAAAAAAAAAAGAAAACACGCAACATTTTTATTTATATCCTCGAAAGACGAAAGCGTAGGTTTACGCCACGGTTACCTGTCATTTTTTTCTTCAATATATATATTTTTTTTTATAAATGTGTCGAAGTTAAAATCTAACTTCGAAAAAAAAATTGTTAAAATAGAAAATGATAGTTGGATAAATATAAAATATGCAAGTATAACAATTTTTTAACGCAATATTTTTTTTTTTTTTTTTTTTTGGCGTGCCTCCACAACAACCACCATCAACACCAGAGGAAAAAAAATGGAGATTAGACAGGCGCACTTATGACATGTGTTTAAAAATTATGAAAAAGAAAAAAAATCCCACATTAATCTTATTTTTCTTAGAAAAACATTGTAATGTAAACTAAATTTATAAAATCACAATACGTACATACAAAAAATGCCACTGAGTAATTTTTGTTATAATTTTGATAATTTTTTTAACTTTTCAAATTGAATTGATTTGCAGGAATTTTACCAAAATGCGAATCAAGAACGAATAAACTAGTCAATCTAAAAAGAAAAAAAGTCTTTTAACTGTTCCTTTTTAGTAGAATAAAGGTAGCTAATTAATTTTTAAGACTTTATCTTTGATTTCCTCAGAGACACAATAATGTGCATGAGAAGAAACTAGTTTTCTTGAAAAAGATAGTGAAAGAATTTAGAACAGATTTTTCAAACAACTGCTCATCTTTGCTTGTGTATCGTCTCTGCATCAACCAACCGAATAATTACTCGTGGTAATAAAACCGGTCATAAGAAATTGAATGCCATTGGAGTTGAAAAATAAAGTAAATAAAATTCGTTTGGGTTGGGCAAAACAAGAAATAGGTTACCGTTATGATTTATGTAAATTGTTGAATGAATGAGATCATTTCTCTATTCAATTAAAAAATAGATTGGGGTGTGACACTGCTATGAAGTAGGTAAAAAAGAAAAAGAAACCACATTTCAAGTGAAGCATTGTTTGTTCAGAATTGAATGCTTATTGTACAGATTTAAAATCAAATCTACACACGCAAATAACCATGTGAAACGTGATTTTCAGTGAATATTCATCTAGATTTGTAAGTAAACTAGGTTATATTTGAAAAAAAAAACAAAAACCTATTCGTTTATCTCCGCATTGTTTTATCAGTGGAATTTTCCTTTTTCTGTGCATTGACATGAAATCTTATATATAATTTTGCTCTTATTTATCGTTTAAAACGTGTTTTCTCCGTTTTTAAAAATCAGGTGACTCTCATCATCTCATATAACAATGAAATCGAGTTCGTAAAAAGATCTCTCGGCAGAGACGGGCAAACAAAACTCGAACAAGACAACTGCTTAAAGAAGTACGTGACGGATGAGATAAAAAAAAAAATAAAAGATACTCATATAATTTTATTTTATTACGTAAATAAAGAAAGCAAGAGTAATGTGGGGTGAACTAAGATCTTATGTTGTGGAGGTGACTTACACGTGTTTCTTTCTATCATGGCATATGACTTTACCGTTGTTTCAAGAATATGTACAAGCCGAAATTTACAAAAAATACCACCTCAATGATTCGGATCTCAAAAAAACTAGCAGCTACAGTGGAGGTTTTAATCCGTCCCCCAATGGTGCGAACAGCACTTCTGGAAGCGAAATCTCTTATTGGCATGCTGCTCAAAAGGAGATAGCCATCTCAGTACTTAGTCTTCAAATCGCTGAAGGTCTACCTGCCGTTGTTTCTGTAATTATTTTGGGCGCAGTAGGGGATCGAACCGGCCGGCGTAAAATCATGATCGTGTTGCCAACCCTGGGAATTACAGCATATTCTTTACTTTACATCCTTATGTTGTACACTGGATGGAACATTGATGGCCTGTTCATGGCTTCGGCTCTCCGGGGCCTCAGTGGTAGTTCTGTCTCCTTGTTGGCTGGTTCGTCTTTCTACGCTATCAACTCGGTAACACCCGAGAACAGATCATCGCGTCTAGCACTGCAGGAGTTCATCAACGGGGCCACTTACGCAATCGGAAATATCGTTGTCGGCGTGTGGGTCCACTATGCTGGCTTCCTCCAACCGTTTTGGTTTATATTCTGTGTGTCTTTGTTCTCTGTGTTTCTGGTGATCTTTGGCGTGGAAGAAATACAGACGGCCCGACGCACGGAACCGTCTACCGAAAATTGCTGTTACGACACGTTTCAGCCGCTGCTCAAATTGTTCAAATGTAAGGATGCAGCTCTTTTGAAAATTTGGTTTGCCATTTTGGCATTCCAGACCTATGCGATGGTGCATATCGGACAACTAAACACCTTACTACTATACCTATTAGGAAGGCCTTTTGTCTGGCCTTCAGTCAAGATAGGGATTTTCCTATCAGTTGGTATGGCATGTTCAGCCTTGGGAACAGTTCTTGCTGTACCGTTTCTACGTCATCACGTATCTGATACAACCATAGCCATTGTTGGGCTTGTATCCAAGGCAGCCGGTACCCTGTGGATTGGAGTCATACAGAGTGAAGCAGTCTTATATTTTTGTAAGTATTACTAAATTATTACTTAACTGACAATCTATTTTTTATTTTAGGAGGAGGAATAATTTCGAAATTATGGGAGCAGCAAGGTGCAAGGATAATCTATTGCATCATTTTTTTTATGATCATTTATCCAGCAATTTTTAAAATTTTATTTATACACTTAATTAACTAAAAAAAAAAATAATAATACAGCACCGAATTAAGGGTTAATGTGTGAGCGTGACCATTTGATTGCCCTCAAATATCCGAACCATGCATGCGCGCTTATGTATGAAGAATGGCCATTGACATTAACGTAAAAAATGTTGTTTTTTTTTTTAATAAATATTGTTATAATATTTTGACAAGAATAATGTATGCCTTATTTGCTGAGTTCATAAAAAATTAGATCATTTCATTTAATTTTAATTTAAATGTTTCGCTGCGTTCATAAACTAGAACATTAACTTATTTTTATAAAAGGTATTTTTTTATAAATAATATGACATTATTCCTAAATTACTCAATTTTTAGAGAATATATGCTTAAAGAAAGAGTTCCTTTTTTTTTTTTCTTAATATGAATTTTCCATGGTTATTGTCATAATTTTTTTCTTAGAAATTGTATGGAGTTTGGGAGTTAAATTTGATTTGAGCCTCAAAAATAGCCATGATTCAAGCAAGACACGATGATAATCATGAATGTCAATTGACTCGATTGGTATTATTAATTTGCTAAATATGCCACCTAACATAGACAAGTCTTTACTTTCACATGTTAATCAATAATTCAATAATTATTTGATCAAATGGTAAGAAGGTAATTCATCAGTTTATATTTGCAGCTAAGACTTAGTTTGGCAAATACTTGGAAAGGTCCACAATTTTTTATCCGGAATTATGAAAAAGAAAACTTAAAAAATCAGAATAAAAAAAACCCTTTATTTTTTTTTTAATATGCCTGTCTGAGTGTAAATTTATGTTCTCTATTTCTTAGCATAAAGTATAAAAGTTAAAATCTTGCACCTTTCGCTGTGAATATTTGTATAATTCACTGCAGTTAGACATTTCTTATCCTATCCAGAGACAATAATCAGTTGGAAATAAAGCCGAAAAAATTCTCAATTTCAATTACTCTGTTGAGGTTTTCAAATTTTGTGCATCAATATTCAAGACCTATGGTTTTTATTTTTAGTAATTTCTTAAGGGAAATTTACATTAAGAAACAAAACAAAATAACAATTCCCTGAGTTGTGTATTTATTTAAAACAACAAACACTAACTCCTCTTAAAAAATAAAATTTTCCCCAAGAAAATATTACTGGTGTCGTTTGGAATATTTAAATTAAAGTTAAAGTTAAATCCTAAAGTTGGTAACAGCGACAGCACGAGTAACGTTATTATTACGACTTTTTTTTTCTGTAGTTTAAGATAAGAACATTTTATTTTTAAAACAAAAACAAACTAGAAACCACCCTGATAATGAGGAAATAATAAATAAATAAAAACATTGAGTTTGAAAATTTATTACAATAAATTTTCTCCAAAAAAATGGTAGTTAGTATTTCTTTTTATTTTAAGTTTGATTATTTTACTTTTTTGTTTCATTCCATCATAAAACTTATAATTAAAAACTTCTTGCAGTTTTTTTGTTTGTAGGTACGTATATGGCTTGTTTGTCAAATTTTAACATTCTTCTTTGATGGCAGATCTTCAGTTTCTTTATTTTCGTTTTATTTTCTGAAAAAGTAATTTTATAAATTTCTATACTTGCATTTATACAGAAATATACCCATTTTTTTTTTTTTTTTTTTTTTTTCAAATATTTTCTTTCATCAAATTAAGCGCTCCAGATCACGATTTTTTAAAAAAAAATTTCAAAAGGTTGTTTTTTTTTTTTTTTTTTTTTTTTTAGTTTCAATTTTGTTTGATTGATCCACCCAATGCAAAATGCCACATTAAAACTTTTTTTTTGTTTTACTACTTCAACTAATTTAAAGTTAAAATTTTTAAAAAGTTAATAATTTATTTAAACTAAAGCATATCCCTTTACTTACCTTTGTCATGCTTTTTGTTAAAATAATACTTACGTACAAAATTTCAAGTAATTTTTTAGAAAAATAGCTGCGAAATTTAAATTTATTTGGACTAACCTTTCCCTTTTTATTAATTTAATTCTTTTAATTACCATATATTTTTGGGGGTTTGGGGGGCAATTTACGATTAATTTTTTTTTTAATTATTTCGCCCCCAATCAAGGCAATAAAGCCACTAAGATGCAGTTTTTTATCATTTACAAACAAAAACAAAGTTGAATTTACATAGCAAAATGTAAAATTTAGGAAATTAAAAGAATAATCATATATTTGTGATTTTGAGAGATTTTAATTGATTGTAAATATGAAAAAAATGTTTCTTGGAAAGGTGCATTCCTGTAGAAAATCAAATTCTTTTTGTCAATAGCAACTATGATCTTGGTTGAAAAGTTACCTTCATAAATGCTAAAATAAATCTTGGTGAGGTGTATGGACTGTGGAATAAGACAATTGCTTATACATACCATCCTCCTTATTGGGTGGGGCTCTATTCTTGGGTGGGGCTCTATTCTTGGGGGATTTACAGGTGTCATCATGGTCATTATCACGGAAAATAGAATTGGTGAGCAGACTTCAATCTTCACTGAGTCTATGTTCACTTTCACACAAATGCTTTTGGGAAGGGCCTGAATCTCTCTCTTCTCTTGCCAAAAGTGAATTAAATAGGAGTGTAGACTGTGCTGCCTTGCCTTGGGTGGTAGCCAAGCTCAGAAAGGGAGTTCTAAATTTGAAACTGTTTCAGCCTTTCCCCCAAAAGTCATGGCAATTCACAAATAAAGAAAAAGGGCCTGGAAAGCCATGATGATCTAAATTCTGCAGGGACATGGGGTACTTAATAATAATAATAATAATATAGAATTAGGGGATTTTGTTGATTGTTGTTGTTTCTAAACTCCCATTCACTTAACAATATTTTCAGCCAGCCTCTAAATCAAAATGCAACATTGTGTAGCATATGTCATACTAAATAGGTCAACTCAAAATTTAAAGTCTACTGAGAATAAATCCTTGGGTCTTCTCTCCCCATGCCACCATTACATGTTCATAATTTTGAGTCTTTCCTTCTCTTTTTCTCCCTCTCGCTCAATACGATAGCTGTATGCCTTGAATTTAACCTGGAGTAATTTTCTGTTTATATTTGGTTTGCAGGTCTGAAAGATTGAAGGCTATTTTTATAGCTTCCATGAAATAAAGATTATTACCTATGGTATTTTAAGTGTTTCATATTCATTAATTAGTTATATATATATATATATAAGAAATATAGTTTTAAGGTGTGCTATATTTATGGGATAAAGTGCTCAATATCAGAGATAGAGCGTATGTAAATATAAAAGTGAACACTGAAGTCAACACTCAGAGGCGACAGGCTGTTTCATGCTGGATGCATGTTCACTTATATACACACACACCCAGCTACTTGTTTCTAAGCACATCCATCTATTAGAGCAGCTACTAATCCCTGTTGCCAACACCTACACAGGCAAATTTTTGTTTACTTCACACTCATGGTATATATTGTGACTATGCTGAGTGGACCGTAAGCATAGTTTCTGGAAGAGAGTGCATAATCTGGCATGAGCATCAGTTTGAACAAGACCAGTACGCTCAAACCCTTGGTCAAGATGATTTCTTACTTCATACTTTTCAAACAGTTCCGTCTACCAAATTTAATTCACAAGGCTTGGGCCAATCCCTGTTTTGATTTTACAATGGTACCACATGCTGGGATTGCCACCCCATGGCAATAACATCAAGAAGTCCCCTTCCTGACAAATCAAACATATGTGAGATTTGAACCTTGGCTTTAGCATCAGAGAGTGAGTGTTTTTTAACCAGATGTCCACACACAAAATAAAAATATAGTTTTAAGTATGGTGTGTGTATATATATATATATATATATATATATATATATATATATATATATATATATATATATATATATATATATATATGAGGGCTTTACCCTGATGAATCAATCAAATATGACCTATGTTTGATTCAAACTATGCAAAAAAGAAAAATTAAAAGTTTCTTAGTAATGGGTCATGACCTGGAGTTATCTACCAAAGAGCAGCCAGACATGAAATTAAAGACTGATACAGATGCTTATATAAAGTGTGTCTAGATGCCAGGCGGTCAACTTTCCCAAGAAATAAAAGTGGAGGTGTAGAGAGGTAATTTAACCTAATGCAAACTTTTTATATGCTTTGTGGATTACCTACATAATTTGTTTTTGTAGTTGATAAATAAGAGGCCGCTTTAAGAGACTAGTAAATAATTCAAATATATAGAATTATTTGGTAAATTAATATGCAACCATTAAAGATCATGTAAGATGTTAATAATACCAACCAATAAATGTAAGATGTCAAAAATACTAACTACCAATACATCATATAAGATGTTAATAATAACAGGAGATTAATATAGAACTACATTAATTCCAAATAGAAAAATAATCCATATATGGTGCAATGCAGTTCAACTAAAATATAAGAAAAGCCATTATCAAATGCCAAAGTTTAAATTGTAAGGTAAAAGGTAGACTGTCTACAATTTACCATTAATTCACTCCTTTGATTTAAGTTTTTATTATAAAATCTGATAATTTCTAATTTTTTACATAAACGCAGAAAACATGGTTCATATAAAGATCTACATATTCCTGCCATTTTTTAAATTTTCCATTTCACCTTAGGAGTTTTATCTTTTTAAACTCCAAAAATATTTAGAAAGTGATGTATTATTTTTATCAGTACTATTGGTGAAGGACAAGATATGCTGATGCCACCTAGTCTTAAAAGAATTCTTAATACTACCAGTATAGAATTTTTCAACTGTTGCATTTTCTCTCTGTAGAGATAGTATTTAGATAAACAAGAGATTTAGTTATACATTTGTTTGGCAATGAGCATTGGTTA